CCCCAAAACCCCAAAACCCCAAAACCCCAAAACCCCATCATCGACAAGCGTATTGAGGACGTCCTAAATTTTCTTTCTCCACAGATTTATATTCAAAAATTTCCCGCAAATCCTCTATAAACCTTCTATTTGCCAAATATGAGCCCTCTTAATCCTGTCAAGCTCTGTCCTGCAACTCCCACTGTCTTCTTGACCTTTACAGGTATAAAAGAAATGGAGTGTTATGAGAGTAATTTAGAAGGAGCAAGTCTAATTTGTGAATTTTATGACAAGGAGAGGTACAGAGAGATGGAATAGTTGGTTTAGTCGAGTTGTGAAACATGTGGAGGTAACAATTGATTGTTATAAATAGCTTGTACAATTTTCTAACAGAGATAATTAAAAAGATATTTAGAATGAGGAGCTCATAATGCAGCGGAAACAAGAAGTTAAGAATTTTGTTTGAATATATAAAATACTCAATTTACTTAAAGTGTTTATCTCCTCTCCTGATAAAAAGGGACATGTATAGATAGATAAAAAGCAAAATTTAAGAGTTGAGGCATCTTCCGGAGGCATTATTCTTCCTTCAAAGAGTCTAAGATGATCAAAAATTGAATCGAAAAATAACCCTTCTCTTTCTCTTTAAAAGAGGTTTCTAAAACGTCAGTCTAGATTTTGTCTCATTTGAAATAAAATCTTTGATTAAAAATGACGTTAGGCAAATGTATTGGAATTCAAAAATATCTAATTTTCTTACCCCATGCCCAAAATCATCCAAAACCCACTTCTAGGCTCATCTAAGCCGCCCACTCATGTCTACATCCTCTAAATCACCAAGCAGACCATAATCATACTTTCCCATTCCTTCTTCACTCCACCTTCACATCCTCTCCTTCCCTTGCTTCCCAGCCTCAAGGCCACACCTCTCAGCTTAGAGGCAGCCGTAGCTCTAAGGCTAGAGTTTTAACGAAGCTTCAGAGGGAGTGAAGAAGGGATATAGTACAAATTTGGGAAAATTTGGAAGTCAAGTTGGGATTTAGAGCAGAGAGTGAAGAAATGGAAGTGAAAATGAGGACTTAGTGAATTTGTTGCGTTGATTGAAAAATATTTGCTTGTGTAGAGCTTAGGCAACAGAATTTATAGAGTTACCACAACCTTCCAGAAGGCCATGCCTAACATTATGAAGGCACTTAGAGCTTTGCCTATCCGTGATCAAATATAAAATGGCAGGCAGTCTTGTATCTCCAATTTGGAAATAGTACATCTCAATTTCCAATTAATAATCCATCTCAGTGGAAGTATCCTTCTTATCTTCTTTCAGTTGTATCAAGATAGTCATATTTCCTTCTTTTAAAGCCTACCAGCGAGTCTGAAATAAGTGCTGATATTTACTGCTGGATTTCTAAAAATGTAAAACACTCCATGCCTCATTTGAGATCTATTATCTATCTTATCTTTATTACATGAAAAAGTAGGAAATGTATACCAAAAATCGGTTTAGCTTTGAAGTGTTAGTCTAATTTTCCTTCTAAAACTTGTCATTTCCTTGGACTGCTTGCTCTCACTCTAAATCTAACAAAAAGAGTCCTTCCACCAAATAGCCGTTTCTCAAATTTATTACATTTTTAACTAGAGATAGAGAAAGAGTAATTAGGAGGTTTGAACAAATTGTTAACAGCAATTATAAGATTTCGGCAGGATTTCAGAGGCAAAGCATTCCAAATCTAATTCTTGTTGACATAATTAGCTTAGTATACTTGTTTTAGGTGGTTCCGCGAGGGAGTTATGAAATCTACAAGTTTACGATAATTGAGATAATAATTCGAAAAGGATTATGTCATCAAATGCGGAAATCATCGAATGGATTTCCGCCTCTCAGAGATCCAATTTGGATGCATAAGCACTAGGAAAGAGATACTAGAAATTAAAATTAAAAGAGCGCAGATTTCGAAGTTTTTATGCCATTTTAGCAAATTCTTGTGAAGGAGTAATAAACCTGGATGCAAATTAATATATTGGGTTTATTATCCCGAAAATTCTTAAAGAGAAAGAAGCATCCTAAAATTTAGTATTAAACATAATCAAATGCAGTATAGAAGTTAAGGTATGTAGCTCGTCTGAAATCCTGCAAGGATACCTCCAATATTTCTTAACTTGGTAATCATAGGTCCCAAAGTATTCAAGATTTCTGATAAAATGGTCAGAATCCGTGCTTCATACTGGGATCCTTTTGGAATCTTTTAGGGGAGGTAGTCTTGAGACTGAACACTTGCTCTGATCTCTTTATCTAACATGGCAAGATTCATTTTCACCCTCATTATTCTCTAAAGCCGCACTGATGAGAATTTTTTAAGAAAAATATTATCATCTTCAGGTAGAAATTTGTCACAGGGATGTCTTCCAGATTATCAAAAGGTTGAAACAAAAATTCAAAAGATTTTCCACACAATTCAGAAAAATAGCATCAAAAAGATTATACAAATCAATAGAGGGTATCTGAAAAGCAAATAGAGCAAGTGGCAGTCTATAGAGATAACTAGGTAAAAGAAAGGAGGGAGTAAGTTACTCTATAATTAGTTTCTGAATAAAGAAGCATTATTGTTTTATTTCTCAAATTAAATGATTCCAAAAAGCAACCTTGACAAAACTATGAAATCTTAATTTTTAAAAGCAAAGTCAGGCTGTAATCTCTTAATATTTCAACTGTATAACTCTTAAGTTCACTTGCGGGTTCGCCAGCAATGCTTTGAGATCCTTTTTGTAGGCATCTGAATTGAAACTGTTTCATGCAAAGCAACTAATTTTTGACAGTAATGCTATTTAAAGGTAATTTTTTGGCAAATTAATAATTATTTTTCAAAACTCATATGATTTACAATACCAACGCTCTGTTTAAAGAGACACCCTTCGATTTCGGCCAGGTTGACTTATGTGAAGGCTTTGAACTTAGCCAGCAAAGCTTCAGAATGTTTAATGACTTCCCTTCAGTTTGAGAGCTAGACCCTAATGAAATTATTGAGAAGAAATGCATGAGGGAAGATCCTTTTGATAACTTATTTGGAACTTCTTCACTGCAAGAGAAATTGTTTGAAGAGACTATTGGCTCAAGCAAGAAACAGTTCTCGTTCAGCACACAGGAACTTATGAACGAGAGTGAGTCCAAAGAAGCCCAAGATGCATCTTTATCTGAGGAAGTTAAACAAGAAGAGCTTGTTAAGGAAGAGGATTTGAAGAAGAAATCCCCTAAGAAGAGGTCTAAGAGGCCAAAAATTACTCAGAAAGTCAAATCTTTCGATAACAGGACTAGGTTTTGCAAAAAGCACGATAGAGGTAAGCAGCTATTTCAATCTAGCATTCTCTAAAACCCAAGATTTTAACAACCAACCTTCACCTGGATCATTAAATTACTGAAGAATTTTATGTTTTTCATCCCCAACTTTCACAAATTTGGTCATCAATGTGACACATATTTTTAATTTAACAGAGATTTAACCTTGAGTTATAGAGATGTTCCTTGTCCTGAACAGGCTTTGCAAGGAGTCTCAGACCCTCCTCTCTGAGTTTGAAGGCACTGACTTCCCACTTACAGATAAGCTGATGCAGATTCTTGAACAACTGATTACTGAAATCAAGTGGAGAAAGAGCAGAAAAATGCAACTTTTGAAGAGAATTAGAAAGCTCATAATGGTTAAAACATTCTCAACTAGAGACCTCAAACTATTGCATACTCTTGTCTTACAACATCAGAAAAAGATAGGGTTCATTGATTACGAGTCAATGCTATATTATTTCCCAGGCAAGACTCCTGAGATGCTCTCTTCTGTCTATGAACCTTCTAAAAATTCTTCTTAACAAATGACGTAATATCTGAACACAAATAACTTGACTTTAATATTAATTTCAATAAATTTATCTCTATCTTCACTTTTTCAACTTCAGCCTGGCAGCTGGGGTTTTGGGGTTTTGGGGTTTTGGGGTTTTGGGG